CAGAGCATGGATGAATCTTGATGACAGTGAGATGAGTGAAAGAAGCCAGGTGTAAAAGGCCCCATCCTGTGTGATCACGCTTTTGTTATGATTTTCTAGAAAAGATGAATCTAGTTGAACAGAGAACAGTCCAGTATTTCCCGTGTCTGGGAATAAGCTGAGGATGGACTGCAAAAGACTGACAGGGGTCGAAGAGGCATGGAAGGCTCCAGATCCTAATTGTGGAGATAGTTCTCTTCTTTTACCAAACTCATCTACCTGTTTGTTTTTAAAGTACAAATTTTATTGTGCATACATTATACCCCAATAAACCCAACTTGCTAAAGCATTTGATGTGGAGAAATAAAAGGCAGCCAGAGTTGGTTTTACAAAGGAATGATGAGTCAAAGTACACCAAATAGTACAGGAATTCTGGACTCAAAAGGTCAGGTTAGGGGCTCAGGAGCTGTCCTCAGACAGTCTGTCCTCGGTATGGGGTGTCCAATGAAAATAGATAGTGAGGCATGAGCCCTGAAGACTCCTCACATCTGTAAGGAGAGAAGCAAAAAAGAAATAGGCATACCAGGTCAGCCAGGAAAAGCCAAAGGAACAGGACATATGTTTGTTGTCTTAAATAGATGATACAGTTCAAATAGCACAGTATAGACAAGAGTGAACAATGAGAGGCTGGTCTCCCTCTCACCTCTGTGTGCCAGCATTTGTTGCCCTCCATGGAAACTCCCAATGTTAGCAGTATGTTTTCCAGAAATGTGCAACATGTTCTTTAATTTAGTCCGTTTTGTAGTATTATAATGTTATATGTGAGGCTTGGTAACTTTATAAAGAAAAAAGGGTTTACTCTGCTCACAGTTCTAAAGATTCAAGTGCCCATGTGTGAAACAAGGAGAGAGAGAGAGAGAGAGAGAGAGAGAGAGAGAGAGAGAGTGTTAGAGTTAGAGTTGGTTCTGGTCTCCCTCTGTGTGTACCTGGGCCCTTTGTGTGTGTCTGGGTGTGTGGGTGTGGGTGTGGGTGTGCACGTATGTGGAGGCCAACAGATTATCTCAGGTTTTGCCCTTCAGGTTCTGTCCACCTTGTTTTGTTTTGTTTTGTTTTATTTTTTTGTTGTTGAGACAGGGTCTTACTATGTAGCCCTGGCTGACCTGGAACTTGCTATATAGACCAGACTGCCCTTGAACTCACAGAGATCCATCTGACTCTGTCTCCCAAGTACTGTAATTAAAGGAGTATGCTACCATATCCAGCCCTGTCCACCTTTTTTTTTTTTTTTTTTTTTTTGAGATAGAATTTCAGTGAGTCTCTCACTGGGTTGGAACTAGCCACGTAGGCAGTACTGGCTGACCAGTGAGCTCGAGGGATCCACCTGCACTTGCCTTCCCAGTGTTAAGATTACAGATATAGGCTATGATGCTTTGGGGGAGGGGGCAACCTGGGGATGGAACTCAGGTCCTCATGCTTGCAAGGCAAGCATTTGTGTCTGAGTTATCTCCCTAGTCCCCTCCTACTTCTTGTAAAAGCCCCCAGAATTCAATCATAGGTTCTTTACCCCATGACCCTATCTAATCTCCATTGCCTATCTCCCAAGGGCACCACCTCTAGATACATAGTTGGAATAACTCTCTAGTCTCTTAATGCTTCAAAATGAGGATAAAATTTAACACATAAAAACTTGGGTAGCGCACTTTTAAGCAACATATAAACCATAGCACCTCTCTAGGGACCTTATTTTGATTAATCACTGTATCACTCAAATAGTTATGCAACAGTATGTGTAATACTGACTTAATCTTCAAAATAGGAGTAATATTGTGTAGAAACCCTATCATTTATTAAGCTAGGCTGTGATGAGAGACATCTGCACTACGTCTGTTTTATTTACTATTAGAAACAATGCTTTCTTGAACACTTGCACTCAATGTTGTTTGAGGGCTAAGTAGCATACTAGGAGTGAAGTACTTGCCCGGCATGCTCAGTACCCTGGGTTTGAACCTCAACACTGCTAAAGAAAAAATATTTCTCATTTTTAGTGTATCTCTTAGGCTCTTAAGAGGGAAATTGCTGTGTCAAATATATATATTTGCCAAATATGTATATTTGTTGTTGTTGTTGTTTTGTCTTTTTGAGATAGGGTCTCCCTTTAGCCCCAGCTGGCCTGGAACTCACTATGTAGACTAGGCTGGCCTCAAACTCACAGAGGTCTCCCTCTGCCTCCTGAGTGCATGCACCACCATGCCCAGCCATATATTTTTCATTTTAATATATGTTCATCTCTTGGTGTCCATGATGGATTGTTTGCATGATACCAAAATCCACAGATATTCACATCTCTTGTATAAAATGCAGTAGTGTTTGTATATAACATATACACTTCCTCTGTGTACTTTAAATCACCTGTAAATTACTTGTACCTAGTATAGTGTGGATACTGTATAACTAGTTGTTGCACTATGTTGTTTAGGGAATAGTGACCCCAAAATGTCTGCACATATTCAGTATAGATGAAAATGTCTTTCTTCTGGATATATCAAATCCCTACTTGCTCAAATCCAGAAGTGCAGAAGCGACAGATGTAGAGCCCGTGGATACAAATGGCAGGCTGTACGTCACGATTCTTCCCTCTTACCCTGCATTTATACCAATCGGCCCTCCCACTAGCCGTCTGTGCCTAAGTATGCCCCGAGCATAAATGTACCCGTTTTCTTAAGACTTGGGTCAGCAAAATGTAAGATCAACTCAGCCATTGCCCAATCAGTAGACAAAACACTAGTATCCTAGAGGAAATTGAATTTGCATCTAGAAGAATGAACGTTATAGATGGAAAGGAACGCTAAGCCTCAGGTCTCAGCAGCAGCTGTGGCTTCTCCACCAGTCTGGCTATGCCTGTTAGTAAAAGGTGCTCCTCCAACAACTTGGCTGCCATCTGGGAGAACATTGTCATTGCAAGTGTACAAATTGCCAGCTGGGAGGCAGAGCACCCAGGAATGGTGCAGAGCACTGCATATCCCTATACCCTGCCACCACGGCACACTGGCCATTTTGAGAGTCCAGGGCTCTTGGGTAGCAGCAGATGGCTTGGAATTGACATAGCACAGACACAGATACAGGACGGAGATTTAAGGTGTTTGACAGTGGAGCATGCTTGAGGGGTAGCCAGGATAAATGGAAACTTTGTTATCCGTAGATCACGCACTTGGAACTTAGGTCCCAGGCAACTCTGATGTTAGTAATTTGGCCAGCAGGCTCATTAAGCTTTTAAGAAAAGTGGGCCTAGTTAATGAATTAATGCAAGATGACATTTTACACACAGAGCAGAAATGAATGCAGTCAGCTCTGAGTTATGTGACATCATAACTCCTTGAGTGGATGTGATCCCTGCTTCTTGCCTGCTGAGGCAGGCAGGTCTAGAGGGAGCCCACTTTCAGAGACCTAACTGAGAGCCTTAGGGTCCAAAAGGCCTTCACTTTCCATTCATTTTAAAGGACTCCTGTTTATATTGCTAATGCCACAGATGGTTGCACATAAGTCAGAGTTTCAGAATCTCTGGATCCATTTACTTCCCATGTTAAAATCTGCCCCACTCTACTCACTGAAAGGGGCTCCCCACCACATGTCCAGAGATGTTTATAGAACACCAAGTAGTAGCAGTAACTAGTCAGAGCCAATGAAGAATCCTGGAGACAGACAGCAGTGATGGTTGCACAACCTGAGTTCACTTAGTGTTACTGAATGTACACTTAAGATGCTTTTTATGTTATGCATATTTCATCACAACCATTTTAAAATAGCTTTTCTTTTTGGATAGAGCTAGCACTGCTGAATGCAAACTTTTGTCGGCACTGTGCTCAACACAAGCATCTTTTTGATAATCAGGGGAGATGGAGCTCTTCTTGCCCAGTGCTGCTCTTACTACTTACAAAAGTTAAATCACTTGCCTGGGCTCAAGCATCTAGAAATGATCAACCCCAGGACTCTATACTTTTGTAGGTCTGTGCAGGTGGTAACACAATAGATAAGGTACCTTAAGGTTGAATTCTGAAACACACACATATAAACATACATACATACATATACACATACATACACTCATATACACATGTACATTCACATGCATGTACATACACACCCATGCTCACATGTACATGCACATACACTCACATGCACATGTGTGCCCATATGCACATACATAAACACAAAGATACACATATGCACATGTGTATGCACATATACACACATACCATACAGAAACTCACACAGATGCACACACATAAACACAGACACATAAAAATAATACACATGTACATACATACGAATATTCACACGTACCACATATAAAAATACACATATTTATAATCCCATACATACACAGATGCATACACATTTATATACACACAGATACAAGCATGCATGCACATGTACGCATATGCACACACAGACACAAACTCACAGACACATACATATAACACATGTACATACGTATACACATATACACTCACACACATATTCACAGGTACACACTCCCACGTACATACACACATACACAAGCCCTACTCAGCTTTTAGCTACCTGAGCTGAGAACAGAGTGACAGACAGCTGTCTCTCTCCAGGAGAGTTCAGAGCCTTCTCCCTCCCTTCAGTGTACAGCTGCACACTCCTGCCTTTCAAATGGCCCATATTTTCCCCTTTCTCTACAGTTTACATGCACATGGAGTGTTGGAATGATTCCTGCTAGGAGCTTAGAAACTCTCCTAAGCTTTTAGTCCAACTTGGGTATGACTAAAAAGAAAAATGAACACAAAGAAAAGGGAGCTTAAGGGGAAGATCTTCATTTGTCTCCAATTAGGATAGTTTGGGGAATCAAGAACTGTTTTCATCAGGGAGGCAGAGATTGTGTGAATAACACCACTGCACTCATTCACAAGCGAGTTCTGGGGCTGATTGTCAAGGGCTAAGGAAAGCCCACTTGTAACCCTTTTGCATCATCTCTCCTCTCCTTGCTTTCTCAGAACCAGGCAGTGGGCAGGTGTTCGTGACCTCTGAGAACCAGCTCGTGTACTATCCCAGTATCACCTATGCCATCATCGGTAGCTCCGTCATCTTCGTGCTGGTGGTGGCCCTGCTGGCACTGGTCCTGCACCATCAGCGGAAGCGGAATAACCTCATGACTCTGCCCGTGCACCGGCTGCAGCACCCTGTGCTGCTGTCTCGCCTGGTGGTCTTGGACCATCCCCATCACTGCAATGTCACCTACAATGTCAATAATGGAGTCCAGTATGTGGCCAGCCAGGCTGAGCAGAATGCCTCAGAAGTAGGCTCCCCACCCTCCTACTCAGAGGCCCTACTGGACCAAAGGTGAGTGTTGGATGGAGAGATTGGGGGAGGGAGCATCTAACCACGGGGACAGATATATGTGCACACGCTAGGGTGCCCAAGCCTTGCCAAGAGATTGTGCTCAGTAGCTGTAGGCAGTAGCAGTGACTGACATTTACAAGTCCCTACAGAATGTTCCATGACACCTAGTCCCCTGGACAACTCTCTGAGAGAGGTAACTGAAGCCCTGCAGTTTTAAGTTACTTGTCTGAGGACCTAGAGGTAGGATCCCAGCTACTCAGATCTCTGCTCCTTCTTGGTTAAGCCACACTGTTGCACGTTCAGGCTACTGACCATCTCTGGGCCTTGCCAGCATGCTACGGTAGCCCAGTATCTATTGGAGGTTTGGTTAATGGCTGTTGCCTGAGTGAGTGAATGAACAATTCCCTTACTCTGCTTGGTTTCCTCTGTGAGGTAAAAGGAGTGGTGTAGAGCATGGCAGGCTTTATAAAGCAATGGACCCCTCATCACAGATAGCACTGTGCAAGAACCCCAATGTATAAGGCCCAAATTAGCATTCTAGCTGGAGTGGAAGGCTTAAACAATACATATTCAGTCTCCCTTTCCCTTTCTTTCAAGATTTTAATGATAGCCCAGGCTATCTCTGGGAATATGAGTGCGTGTATATGTCATGCTGGGGATTGAACTCAAGGCTTCATATATGCTAAATGCATGTTGTATCATTGGATACATCACACACACACACACACACACACACACACACACACACACACACACCAGGTAGCCCCTCTCAGAAGTCCCTGGACTCTACAGCTATCTCAGTACCCTCTGAGTCTAATATTCATGTCCTGCCTTCAGGTCCCAGCTCAGTGCCCCTCTTTCCCTAGATCCCAGGACTCACTCAGTATCACATTAGATATTATGCAAACATGTCTCCAGGGTGACTGGTCTCCTCATCGGACCCTTTCCAGTAGCAGCTCTTATATAATTTAATGTTCATTCTCCCTCCTCATCAAAGGCAAGCAATGCTTCAGGGACTGGGGAGGGAGTTGTGCTTAAGAATCTCTGTGTATGAGAATGTAAGAGCTTGCTCAATTCATGAACATCCCATTCATAATTTCGAAGTTGGGCCAGCCAACATAGGGTAAGGATAAAGCTGCTGAATCTGGAGGCAGAATGGTTGGCTTCCAATCCCTGCATAGCTGCTTAATAACCTGTGGTCATGGCCAAGCTATTTAATGCCCCTGTGTCTCTGTTTCCTCACCAGGACTGTGGGCATAAAAGTAATGCTTACCTCAAGTATCCTTGTAGCATTAGGGGTGGCAGATGAGAGGGGCACAGCACAGTGCCTGACTCAGAGCAGTGAGCAAGAGCTGGAAACAGAATATCTTTTCTCTTACATGATTTTGTCGCAAGCACAGTAGAGAGCCAGAGATAGAGTATTGAGGTGGTGTCCTCTCATCCAAGGTCACAGGAAGAGTTTGATTTATTAAGAACCCCACAATCACTGGCCTCATCAAAGACTGAGCCAAAATGTCAGCCTCACCTCTTGGTCATGGGACTTTTAGCCCAGAGAGCACAGTGGCTCTGCCAGACCACCTAAGTTGATCAGAGGGTGTGGTTTGGCAACCTCATTCTGGTCCACCCAGAGGATGTGGTATTGGCTCTGCCCAGTGGACAGGAACCAGGCAGAACACATTGACATTCCTGTCCTGTGTCTTGTTTCAAACCACTTGTTTTGCTGGTCCTAGAACTGCCTTTAGTCCCTAGCAGGAAAACTTTATTCTTCACATAAGCACCAGCTCAGAAGTGAGCTGTCATTAGAGTGGGGTCGGCAACACCTGCCTGGTCTTGACTCTAACATGTTCTCTTTCCTTTCTCTCTGTTGTCCCTACCGCCCACCTGCAGACCTGCGTGGTATGACCTTCCTCCACCACCCTACTCTTCTGACACAGAGTCTCTGAACCAAGCTGATCTGCCCCCTTACCGCTCACGATCAGGAAGTGCCTACAGTGCCAGCTCCCAGGCAGCCAGCAGCCTACTAAGTGTGGAAGACACCAGTCATAGCCCAGGACAGCGTGGCCTTCCAGAGGCTGCTACTGAGCCCAGGGACTCCGTGCCCAGTCAGGGCACTGAAGAAGTATAAAATCCAGCAATTCCAAAGTCCATGTGGGTAAATCTGCTCCAACTTGTTGCATTCTGATGACCTGTGTTCATGGGACACTTTCTGAGCTCCTTTAAGGGTATCTCAAGTTGGAAGTTTGGGATACTGACTGCCTCTCCATCCCCTCCTCCAGATTTCAGGGATATTCTTTGGAGGATGACCTGACCTCTCTCTGGCTTCAATGCATCTTTTCTGTGAGGTCACTGTTGCTTCAGGGCTCATGATCACAGCTGCGTGTGTCTTGTGATCAGTGACCATACCACTGTTGGAGTCCATCCAAGTAGGTGTGTGACTGTCCAGGCAGCAGGACAAAGCCCTATGTAAGTAGTCATAAGCATGGAAACAGGTTTCTGGGCAATGTTACATGTTCAGGAGATTGGAAGATATGAGACCAGAGTCTCTGCAGGACTTCTATCTTCTAGCTGCATTTGGGGACCTGGGCTGGGGGATCCTACCAGGAGTTTGTCGTTGGATGGCCACTCTAAAAAGTGTCCAAGTGAACGAGAAAGCCTGCCTTGTACTCTCCTGTGTATTACTGTCACTTCAGCAGAGGCCAAAGAATTCTGACATGAGTGATGTCTTTCCATTCTCAGCAGTCTTGCCTAGTTTTCGCAAAGACTCAGAAACCATCTACCCTGGCTTTAGAAATTTGCCTGTGAATCCTTGTTTTCAGAGCTTTCTCTGGTAGTATCATCCTGGAATAGGTAGGGGAAGCTCCGCTGTTGAGTTCTCAGGTTACCAGAGGCTGGGCCTGCCTTGGCCCTTCAGTCCCTTTCCTGGCTTCTGGGTTGTCCCCCTCCCCACTGACTTGGCATAGCCAAAGAATGAGGACTCAACTTGTGTTGGCCAAAATTCTGGTCTGGCCCTTTGTTCCAGTAACTGTGCCCAGCCTGTGTTGTTCTACCACGAAGCTTTAACTAGGCTCTTAAGTTTCCTGAACACCTGGGAGTTTATTTTGCCTGTGCATTTGAACTTGAGGACACTAACTATATAAGAGCCATATTCAGTACCTCATGTGAATGCTCCTAGGTCCCTGTACTGCACACGTAACCCCAAGAACAGTGAACCAATTAGGGTTAGGGTTAGAATCCTACAGGCCTCTCCAAACATCTTAGTAGTCTTTTCTGAGAGACATAGGCAATAGATAATTTGGAGTCAAGATTTCCCACTGGATTTTTAAATAATCTCTTAGAAATGCATTTGAAACAGTGTGTTTGTTTTTTCCCTTCTAGTTAAGGGACTATTTATATGTGTATAGGAAAGCTATCTCTTTGTTTGATTTTATTTTTGTTTCTCTTTTAGTGAGGTCCAAAGAAAGGTGCAAAAAGAAATCCTGCCTTTACTCAGCCTTGTCCCGTAATATTATTCCAGACTAACCTACATGCCAGGTGTTTACATTGTGGCACCTTGAAGTCATTATTTATCAAGTTCTGAAAAGATGCAGAGAAAGACATCCCTCACCCATCTTCTCTGTGTTTGGGATAATTCTCCTCTTTCTCAATGCCCAGCCACCCCCATCCAGGCAATAATGGACTAAACACTTGGTGTTATTTGGCCAAAAATCTGACCAGGGACAAAACTGGAAGGAGGTGAAGCCACCTCAGGCACTGCCACCCACCCAGAGCTTCTTTCCACAGAATGTTTTAGGATTCTGTTTGATGCTGATTAAGAAGGGCCCACAGGAAGCAGGGAGAAAGTGGCCTTCAATAATGCTGTTCTGTTGAGTTTTCCTTTTTTAAGCAAACCCAAAGTATACTACAGGAAAGCTAGCCACTTGGGGTTTTTTCATTGGTTTTGGTTTTTAGCAAAGAAGCCTAGTTGCTTTTGGGTTTTTGTTTTGTTTTGTTTTTTCATTTTTAAAATAGCATTTGAGTTAATTTGAGACTCGATGAAGCACTTAGGTGGCAGACGGAGTTTGTCTGGCTGTGCATCTTATCCCGGTGAGTCAGCGTGGCTCTTTCCTGCCTTTGATGGGCCCCTGCTTGTTTCTGGTGCTCTGAAAGTTGTTTGGAGGAAAGGATTCTAATTTTAATTAATTGTGCAGTGAGTTAATCCCTTGAGTTTTCTGCTTCAAGGCATTTTAAGAAAAACAAATGTTTTAGTAGATAAGGGCAGCCTATTGTTGTTTTTCTCACACAAACACAGGGACATTTTTACTATAGATTTGGTTTTTTAATGGATTTTTTAAAAAATAGCAACAAGATAGCAAAGCTGTAGGACTTGGGATTTTTCTCCCCTTTTTCTCAAGATATCAAATAAGTGGCTAGCAATATTTTTTTAATTCATTCCAGCCAGGATTTTTTTAATAATATATTACCTAAATCTACGCACACCAGGAAATGATCTTTACTTTCTTTTCTCAAATGAGATCAGCGCTTCGTTTTTACATTACACTTGTTTCTCTGTGGTTGATAACTTTTTGCCTAGCTTGACTCCCTCTATCTTATAATTGACTTTGAAAAAAATGCAACTAAGTTGTTAATAAATAGTGTGTGATATTCAAACTTAATGTAAACTGGAAAACTTGTATGTGGTTGCTTTTTGTTTTTTGGATTAGACTTTTTAATTTTATACTTTCAAATAAACTTGCAGTTTCATTCTTTTCTGTTGCTATGAATGGTTCTTGACCCACTTTTCTGCCCTGCATCAATATAAAAAAGAAGACAATCATTTCTGGCTTAGCTTCTTCAATAAATTTATGCCATAATAAAATGAGGGAAAGCAGGCATATATTGAGGAGACCTCACAGTGTGGTGGATATTGACGGTCTGATTGGAACAGAGATGTGAAATTGCACATGCCAGTTGGTATGATGAACCCTGGAAAGTCAGCCATCCACCTTTATTAGACCTTCCATTGTTCCAGAGAAAAGGGGAAAGTGACTGTGATAACTGTTGCACATTCTCATCACATACACAAGGGCACGTTATAGCTCTTACACTGCTGTGCTACATTGCATTCAAACTTCCAATGGCTGACATGAATCCCACCAAGGGGCACATCTTTATGTCCTTTAGGTCTGCTTTTGGAGCCACATGTTTACTGATGCAATAAGGACAGTACATAGGAAGTCAGGAAACCCAGTAGGACACCACCTCCACCACCCCCAAGAGAAGTGACTCATCCTTGGCCAAAATCAAAATCCACATGGAAATCTAAATGCAAACCTTCAAGAACCAAGATGTAGATCGTGTGTTGTCGGCAGCTCCTAAGAAGATGGCGCTGTCAGGGTTGACTATGTCATATCCCGCCCACAGTGGTCTAGAGTAGACCTTCAAAAGCAGAATCCCAAAGTTTGTTTACATATTCCTTCTTTCATCTCTCAGAGTACCTTATGAATCCCATTTTATTGATCACAAGATAAGGAAATAATCATAAGGCTCTTAATCTTTTTAATATTTTATTTATTTTACATGTATGAGTGTTTTGCCGACGTTTATGTAAGTATACCATGTGCATGCAATGCCCACATAGGCCACGAGAGTGTGTCATATCTCCTGGAACTGGAGTTACAGACGGTTGTTAGCCATCATGTGGGTTCTGGGAATCAAACCCAGGTCCTCTGGAAAAACAAGTGTTCTTAACCACTGAGCCATCTCTCCAGCCCAAATACAATGCTCTAACCTAAAACAGACATTGGCAACCTTTCTGTAAGGGACCAATTATTTTTGGCTCTGAGGCAGTTATAAATAACTCAGACAATACATAAAAGACTGAGTAAAACTGTGCTCCAATAAAACAATATGAAAATAGGCAGCTGGCTGGTTTTGACCTGTGGGCTGTAGTTTGTCAACTCCCGATTTAGGGAAACATTCCCACCTTAGGTCCATGAATCTAAAGTTAAGGACAGAAACAATAGAGTAATCCTTTGGGCTAATAGGACCCATGAAGAACTCACCAAACAGACCATCCAAGGCCCTGATAGTTGTTGGAATTGAACTTACCAGCTTTTATTCTAATGAATAAGAAAATACAGGATTAATAGAGGCTTTCTAAGTGAGGTCCTAAAACAGTTGGGTTGAATGGCAAGATCCTAGTTGTTTTTTGGTTTTTTTTTTTTCAAAAAAAAGGTTTAAAAACTTGCTCTCACTGGAAGTTCTTCAAAATCATAAACTCAGACAATAGTCTCTATAAGAGAAAGTTTATGTGGAAGAGTATCCTGGAAAATACTGTCCACCTTTTCCATCTAGCTTGCAACCCACAGGCAAAGTGGGTATATCAAGAGTCCACTGAATGAAAAAGAGGTTCAGATTGCTGCAATGGAGGTGTAAGAAGTGTTCAAGGAAAAAAATATGCACCTACCAAGACTCAGGAGAATGGTCAGTGAGAAAATCTGATTCCTTTAACATCCTATAATCAAGTTCATAACACATTAATGAGAACTCCCAGTTATAAGTAATAAAGATCCAACTCATTTAAGATTAACTGCATTAACTTTCAGAATACTGTCTATTGCAAACAAGTCTAGACATATGGAACTATTGGTTTCAAGCCTAGCTGGATCTAGTTGATGAATCGCTGTCATTAATAGAGTTCCCAAAACAACACAGGATATTGCCATTGCTCATGGTTGCCCATCAGAACTAGATAGCACAACCTAATTGCTGAAGGCACCATACATCCTAGATACAGGACACAGAGGAATCAAGTTAGAACGGAGGCGACAGATTCCTTCATGCTTATTCATTCTCACAGTGCTGGAAGATGGAGAAGAAAAGTTATCAACAGTTGTTCCCAGCTATGGATTCTGTGGTACACTACCAGCCTGCCAGGCAAGATATGCTCACCAGTGCAAGACCGTTCAGGGACTAACCAACCACCTTCTCACTGGATTTAGGCTCACTCCACCAGAGGTAATACATACCTGTACATGTACCATAAATCTGGTCAAAAGCCTATGTCTGTGGAGGTCACAGACCCTAAAGGAGAATGTGCTACTGATGATTTGCTCAATGGATATGTAGTCAAACTGCCTCCTAAACATATGTGTTTATTCCCGTAGACTAGTGTGTTCTCAGCCTGGGTCAGGGAAGTTTCTTATTTCTGATGGTGATGTTAGCCATCACCAGAGACTCACAACTGCTCTCAGAGTGCTAGGAATAAGCAACTGTAGGAATAAATGTTCAGCCCTAAATACCACATTGATTTCACTTCCTTCTAACCCAGGGACCATCAGGCAGGAAGGGTTGGGAGAGCTTGTAAGAAATGCTGTCTTCTGGGTATGGCTTGGTTTTTGTAGTTACACAGAAGCTACCTGCACAGACTTGCACCAAAAACAAAAGGCCTGAGAGTAGGAAGAAGACCTGTTAGGAAGAAGTAGGGACTCACAGGAAAAGTAGAGGGATGACAGGGTACTAAGAAGTACCCTAGGAAGATCACAGTACATTCTATTCATGTAGAAAATTGTCCAATGTAATCAAAAAAAAAAAGAGAGCGAGAGAATTTGCTTGCTTCCAAGACTAGAGAGATGTCTCAGTAAGTAAAAGTGCTTGCTGTGTAAGACTACAGACCTGAGTTCAAATCCCCAGAACCCACATAAAGGCCAGATGCATAATATAAGCATTTGTAATCCCAGCACTTCTACAGGGAGATGGGAGGCAGAAGACAGGAGAATCCCCGGGAATGTGCAGGCCAGCTAACCCAGCAGGAAGCAGAGCGGTGAGAAAAGATCAAACAAGGTAGAAGGCAAGGACCAACACAGAAGATTGTCTTCTGCCCTTTACACATGCATGCCTGTATTCACGCACAACAAAAATAATTTACTTCTCCCTTACGGATTTGTAAGTATTGGTGTCATGGGACTGAAGAGACACTCCTTCCTGGAACTTATAGACACTCCTTTATAATGACAGGTGACTGAACATCCTTGGTCATGTAGCTATTACTGGGTTGGACTTAGCCTCTTTATTGATAGCCCCATCTGAATTATATGGGGTAGGAAAGGAGCAATTTCCATATGGAAGGGTCTAGTAACAGAAAAAAAAAAAACCTACAGATACTGTAAAGCCTCACTAAGGAAAGGATTCATGACTGGTTAGCCCAGATTTTAATGAGCATAAGAAAATAGCATAAGCTTTAGGCTATAGAGCTATCTATAGGCATTAAATGTTTGAAAGTGCAGCTGTAGTGTTACAGTAACCATTGCAGGAGATTCAACAGCCGCGCTTCTCTAAACCCAGGCAGGAAGAACAATTTCAAGTATATTGGGTTCGAGTCGTGTGTGCTTTTCATGAGATAGTCATCTGGAGTTGACCACACAGACATGAATAAAACCCTGTAGGAGGAAATCTACTCTGAAGATTGCTGAAATAACTCCTAGATTGCAGAACTGTCCTCAAACCACTACAGGTGCTAAAATGAGATAATTATCCCACCAAGAGTTTTCCCCTACCCCAACTGCACAATGTTTTTAAAGTGAAAATTCAGAAAATCTAAATAGATCCCTATTTTATGAACCTTGTCAAGACCTTAAGACTCATGCATGCATGTTATTTACTAGGCTTTCCATTGGTGTGCTAGACTGCGTCAATATCTAAAAAACTACCTGTGATAGTTAATGTTTTTCACCTGGACATGCCTGGCAAGAGGAAACCTCAACTGAAGAATTTCCTCCATCCGATTGACCTGTGGGCATATCTTTGGGGCATTTTCTTCACTGCTAATTGATATAGGAGGGCATAGTCCACAGTGAGTAGTACAGTGATACCATCCCTAAGCTGGTAGGACTGGGTTGTATAAGAAATGTGGTTGAACATAAGTCAGGAAGCAGCATTTCTCCATGGTTGCTGTTTCAAGTTCCTGCCATGAGTTCCTGCCCTGGCTTAACTACTACCTGGAAGATGAAACAATCCCTTTCCTCCCCAAAGTTGCTTTTGGACTTGGTGATTATCAGAGCAACAGAAAAGCAGACTAGGACACTCCATTGAAAATATTCGACAGCTGGTGTCACAGAAGCTGAGGGGCTCAATTACCATCACAGTGGTACTTGAAAGTGTGACCATGGTGGACAAAGATGTGATGAAAAAAGAAACATGTTTAAGTATGATTGTTGCCTCTGTTGAGCTGGATTTGGGGTCTGCGAAAGAATAGTCCATTTAGAAATTCCAATGCCACCATATGTGACTGAATGTCTCTCAAATTCACACTGCTGCTTCATCCCCATGGGGCAGCAGAGGAACGTGCACAGGAAGGAACACACCTGTGCGGTACATAGCTGGACCTGGAAGCAGCCCACAAACCTCCTGCATCTCATTGCTTAGACTCAGCTCTGGCACCATAGCCACACCTACCTGCCCAGAGAAAGCAGATTTGTTGTGTGACCTGGAACAGCCAGAAAAGGATTTGGGTGCTGGTCACCAAATGCTTATAAATAAATATATATTTAGATTCTTCTTTTCACACATACATTCTCCCCCTCCTGAAAGTAGACACCCAGCCATTCCATCTAATCAAATTCATAGCCTAGGATCTAATGAAAATTCAGTATCTGGGTCAAATGTGTCTACTTTGGGAAGCCAGTTTATCATCCCTACACAGCTTTTGTTGAGGGTCCTGCCTGCATGTATATAAGTGTACCTATCTGCAATGCCCGCAGTGGTCAGA